CACACAATTTAATGGTCTAACAAAAGTTAGCGCCAGGTTAATGGTTGGACTCGATGATCTTAAAGGTCTTTTCCAACCTAAAGGATTCTATGATTCTATGAAAACATAACATTGATTCAAACTCCTATCTTTTGTGCTATCAGTGTATATGAACTCTGGTTCCCCTAGTACAGACTGATATTTAATTAGAGAGGCGATACTTAACTCCTTAATCTCCAGTACAAATTCTATGAAATGATCAGAGAAGTGGTATATCTGTATGAGCTAAGCTTCCAGGCTGATATGCCTGTAAATAAGAGCCTAGACCACTGATAATATCCTGCTAATGAAGTACTGTCAGTGTTCATTTTGCTTTAATTAACATTTTAAACACCACTTAATGGATTAGCCAGTTAGGCTTTAATTACTAGCTGAGTATAGTTAACTTTAACATTTTTAATTATTGTCAAATACTAAGCGACAGTATAACTATAGGTTTTAATTCAAATACTTGAGTTAATATATGCTGCATGTTCAAGTGCATAAATAGCCTTTCTGATAACTGGATGGTGTTTGTAGTGCATGAAGAATCCCTGTATACTTGCTCTTGGTTTTGAGTTTTTGTTTCTGTAAAGAGAAATTCAGCTAATGGTCTTTTAGATAAAATGATTTACATGAGCATGTAATCTTGATTTAAGTCAGATTTACTGTGGGTAACTAACCCCCATCCCTTCCTTTAAAGTGCCCAAACAAATCAGGGTTTTTTGTTTGTTTGGTTGGTTTTTTTTCCGTTTTTTTTTTTTTCCCTGATGGCTTTAAAATGTTCATTTTCTTTCCACATTTAAAACCACAGCTAATCAGCGCTTAAAGCCTGTATGATAGTTCTTATAGGAGAAATCTGTCTGCACTGGTCTCTAAGGATATGTCAGTATAAGCATCATTTGTGGCTCTGAAAGAGAAACAAACTGTGAGGGTGAGGTGGCAGGGGAGCCAGATGTAGTGGAGTTTGTGCTAGTGCAGACCGTGCCATGGCCAGGAAAACTGCTCCTCTTTTGTCTGGGAAGATGCTGCTGCCAGCGTTGCTTCAGCTGTGTAGCTTCTTTTCAAGGCTGCGTGTTGTGCTGTGCAGAGCTGCTCTGAGTAACTGACCTCGGCATCTGTCCTCATACTTCTATTTCTTCTGGGTTTTTTTTGTGTGGTGTTACTGCTGGTTGTAGCTCTGCCCTAGTGTGTGCTGATGAGGCAGTGCTTCAGGTCAGCGTTTTTAAGAGCAAAGATGAGCATGTCAGGGATGGGGGGGGAAGAGCACTGTCATCTCACCTGATGACCTAGATTGGTCAGGCAGTGCCGTTTTCACTCTGCTGGGTCTTGCCTCTATTGCACTGTTCTCTGAAATAGCTCAGCTGCTGTTTTGCTCACTTGAAAGCTCTCTTACCAAGGCAAAGATCTTGATTGAATCGGTTCCTTTAAGCATATGAGTAGGGATGATGTAGCTAAAACCTGACTAGGCCCAGCAGGGGGGGCTTAGTGTTTTTGCAAATACTTAATTCAGTATATAATCATTTAGTCATTATCCCAGTAAGAAGATTATGTTTGATATTAAAAAATTGTTCTATGTGCATCAGGGGCAGTAACACTTGAGTTTCAGTGATTTTGTGGGGTTTTCTCTCTCCTGCAATATTCATCTTGTTATGTGTTCCTCCTGCAATTTCCCCTGTCCTAGAGAAAGAAGTGACTGGTTTAGCGGGCATGAATTAACGTGTCTGCCCAGCTGGCTGCTCCCAGAATGCGTGCGTGGGTCATCTCTTCTTAGTTTGCCTCAGTGAACACCACTGAGCTGCTTATTTTTCTCAAAGATGTGCAGGGATGTGAGTGGGTTGGTAGGTCTAAAAGTTACTGGATGGCAATAGGTTTATGCAGTTGCGACTTAGTAGCTGTTGTCCAAGCTTCGTTAGGAAAGCAAGCTCAAAACTAATTGCAGGGTAACTCTTTGTCTGCATCTCCAACTAAGCTGGACTTCACCTGAGGAGTTTAATATTAAACTTTGATCTGTGTAGTAGTATCTTACTGTTTGTACTGCAGTATTTTTTTTTATTTTTTTTTGTAGGAGGCATGCTCTGAATGTAGGAAGACAGTGACACAAACTGTCCTTGTTCTCCTCTGATGATAAACTCAATTCCATGGGCCAAATGTTCTTTGCTCTCTGTTCGTTTTGAAGTCTGTTACTTGTTAGAAGTGTTTTTGCCAATAGCACAATAATATTATTTTATTGGAATGGTATATATTTTATTCTATCTTGCTAAAAGAAAGAGGGACTTGGACTGTAGTGTGATTCCTTGTGGAAGTGGCCAGCTTGTATAAATAGCATCAATAGGTCTCTTGTTCAGTGATGTGCATGATCACAGCTTGTAAGGATGAGCTGTTTGGGAGCAAAATGTTTTAAAAGCTGGTGTTGGAGTTCAGACACTTAAATGAGGTATATTGCCTCATTTGAGGCACATTGTTTCCCAGTGAGGGGAAGACAAGTCATCTTTATTTCAGCCACTGCAAGCCTGCCCTATCTGTAGAAACATGCATTCCTCTGTGTTCCCCTTGATGCACTCAGGAGGAAGCTGCTTGAATTACTTAGGTATTTAACAAACAATTTAACACTGGGATTCTCCAGAGGAGTGACTTTTATGCCAGACGGTCCTTGCACCAAATTTTCTGCAGCAGATGAGCCTAGGCTTATATTCTACTCTGCCAAATTCAACCTTTTATTCAACAGTATCTTTAAAAATATTAATGCAGATAGAATTAGTTCAAGAAAGTAGTTTTTTTGAACAGAGAGTAGAAGTATTCTTCACTAGAAAGGTTATTTGTGTGTGTGGAGGAAATAGTGTGATACATTAGTACTATAAAATCCTGATGCATCCTAGGCCAGTATTTGCTGTACATTTCCTGCTG